TCGGGTTCGCCTGGGGAGGGACATGATCAAGCCGATGGTTACGCCTCTGAGGATTTTGTTCCGGGGTCGTCTTCTGGCCGGGAGAGAAAGAAAGGTTTGTGATTTTTTTAAAAGATTCTTATATGGGTGTTTAAATTTGGATCCTTTCTGATCATTGTTGGTTCTTCTGAATTTGAATTTTATTTCTTTATTCATAGATGCTCGTGTTTTCCTCTTCTAAGGTTGTTCTGGATGCGTGTTAGGAAGTAAAATTCTTTTCTGTAGGGGTGCTGTGTTGATTTGAGTTTATATATCTATAGAAGAGATTTGAGGTGTCAAAATTAATTAATTAATTATTGATTTGAGGTGTTGATGAGATGCTTTAATTATTGTCAGATTATTTTTGGACATTATTTCCCCAAAAAAAAAATGGTATTTACACCACCAAGGTGTCGAAATTATTGGTTTGGAGCAATTTTTTGGGAAAAGTGATTGGCACATGCATATGTACTATTTTTGAATGTGATGCTGAGAACTGGAATTGATTCAAGAAAATTTTTTAAGGGTTAAACCAGTTTGCAGTTTTTATTCTCATTCGACTTTTGTTTGTTTGCCACTTGTCTCTGGGTTACATAGCCCCATGATTGATACTTTGTGTCTCCTGAGCTTTTTATAGATTGGGCATGTCTTTAATAGGCCTGGTAGTTAGTAGGCGTAGAAGTTCAATTATTCTGGTTATTGAAGAAAAAAATTAGACAACATTAAAGAGAAATTGTCTTGTGGAGTCTTGATTTATGATTAGAATTGTTCTCTTCAAGCAGTGCTGTGTGGTGAATTTAAGATGTGCAATAAATGCATTAACTGCGGATGTGTTTTCTGTGTTCATAGCCTCCTATAACGGGGGGAAGTTCAAGATAGCTGTTCCTTTTGATGATACAGATTCACAATTTATACTAAACCATTTAAAATTTTGCATGTGACTTGCATGGAATATCCTGGTACGTTGTTTGTGCTGCTGATATGTGATCTTCTCAGTTTTTTCTAACAGAACAGAAAATTCCAGCTCAACCCCACATAATAAGAAACTCATTTCATTGCTATGTGATTTAGTAAGCTTATTATTGTCCTCTGATTCCTTTCATATGAATTAATTTGTTTCTCGAATTTGGTTACCATAACAAAGGTAAACATGGGAATTATAGACTTTGCATTTGAGAAAGGGATCTTGGTCCCCTCATTAATAATTTGTGAATACATTTAATGGTTAAGTAAGAACCAGGATTAGTTTGTACCTTCTGGAGGGGGGCTTATATTTTATTCTACAGGTACTCCCTGGACGGAAGAGGAACATAGGATGTTCTTACTTGGTCTACAGAAGCTTGGCAAAGGTGATTGGCGTGGAATCTCACGCAATTATGTTATATCAAGGACTCCTACTCAAGTGGCCAGCCATGCTCAAAAATATTTCATTAGGCAATCCAATGTTTCTCGGAGAAAAAGACGTTCAAGTCTGTTTGATATTGTTCCAGATGAAGTTAGTATTCTTTCTACCTTGATGCATTGATTTACATATTACAAACACATGAATTGGTGTACAGTGTTCACTGTCACATTTTTGCCCATTGATGCATGAGGCTTTAGTGAATATACTTTCTTTTCATCGCATTCTTCCTTGCCCCTTTTTGTAGTTATCTGATCATGTACATCCTTCTTCATGTTTTCAGTTAGTTGACACTCCAATGACTTCAGAAGACTTGTTCGCTGTGAACCCTCCTCAGGCTGAAACACTCATCAACAGTGATCATTTGCCTGCCCCTCCACCTTTGGCGGAAGAAAATGAATCAATGGAGTCTACCAACTCTAATGATGGTGAACCAGCTCCTCCAAATTCAGAAAGCTCACAGTACCCACTGGTGTATCCTGCCTATTTCTCACCATTCATTCCATTTTCATATCCATTTTGGCCGGGGTACAGCACAGAGCCAACTACAAAAGAGACGCATGAAGTCCTAAAGCCAACAGCAGTACATTCAAAGAGCCCAATCAATGTTGACGAGCTCGTTGGCATGTCAAAACTAAGTCTGGGAGAGTCCATTGGTGATTCTGGCCCATCCTCTCTTTCACTGAAGCTTCTTCAAGGGTCATCTAGACAGTCAGCTTTCCATGCAAATCCTGCATCAAGCAGTTCAAGCATGAATGCAAGCAGCAGCGCCATCCATGCAGTTTAGTAGGGGCAGCTCTTCTTGAGCATAGGTTAGCACAGGGTTTGTTATGTCTACATGTTGTTGTTAATAGAAGACTAATAATGTGCAGTTTGCTGGGTTATTTTCATATATCTTACCTGCGATAAACTGAATAAGGTTGTTTTCCGCTTTCAACTCTATTTCAGATCTTAGCTTGTTAGGTACTAGCTTCTTGTGAGAAATTATTTGAATCTTTGACTGTTTGTGTTCATGGTCAATCATATTATTGTTATGGTCTTCATAAATTGCATCTTCCTTCTTCTTTCTTTTCATTGTTTCTAGATTTTTTTTATTTATAGTAAAGTATTTTTGAGTTAGTTTTTACATATTTTAAAATTAATTTCTTTCTTAACGATTTTAAGAGTATTATACATTAGCTTGTTAAATTCAAAAAAATTAATTTTTGTTAGTATTAATTTTAAGATTTAAACCCTATATCTAACTTATAAGAGGATACCAATTATTAGTGGATCCATGACTTGGGGTCACTCTTCATTTTGTTTTGTTTTGTTTTTTGGTTTTCTTTTTTTTTTTGAATGGAATTTCAGTTGTGGCCAAGATTATAATCCAATTATGCTGGCCCGAAAATAGAAACAGAGACCCAAGCCTGTATAATCTGTCCAGCCTCCAGACTTCAAGAACTTCTGAGAACTTCCTATGTTTCTACAATGGAAACCAAGCAAAGTGAGGCATATTTTCGATCCCAACAGAACCAGTATCACCCCCATAACATGGAACAGGAAGAATCTCCAGTACAGATCTTCGCTCTACGTCCTCTTACGCTGTCTTCTTTCTCTCTTCCTTCTCTTTATCATCATCTTCTTCTTTTTCTCCTACACCCACAACCCAAGTTTCCTCCTTTCAACCTTTGCCAAAACATCTGGCATCCAATTCTCACAATGCAAGACCTCGATCCTCAACCAAAAGTTCCTCTGGTACGCACCTCATAGCGGGTTCAATTCAATAATCAGTTGTCGGGTTTAAGAATGCAATTGTCATTGCGGGTATCGTGAACCAGACCTTGATCGTCCCTCCGGTTCGTGATCACCACACTGTGGCTCTTGGAAGGTGCTCCAAGTTCCATGTTTTGGAGTCCAAGGAGATCCGTGCTTCTGTTTGGGATCACGCCATTGATCTCCTTCGGAGTGGGAGGTACGTAATTGGGTCTCGTCCGCATTCTCTCTCTGTATGATATATGATTTTACTAGTTTACTCTGAATTTCTGTGTCTTTACATATTCATATCTGCTCGTCTTTATCAGTCAAATGAGGAAGGGTTGAATTTTTTAACATTGAATTCTGGGTTTTAAGAAATCTTTGTCGACTTTTAAATGCACTTAGTATGAAGTTGTTATTGCGTGTCAATATGCCATTTCCTTTGCTTTCATGCTAATACATTTGAATTTTATTACGCTTCAAATTTTGATTTGTCATCCTCTATATTCTTATGGAAGCAAATTGTGACTTAAAGACAATTGGTAATGTCATGCTTTAAAAGTCAATGATAGAAAATTGTGAATCTTGGTGTCTATTCTGTGTGCTGCAGCTGTTTTATTTGTTCAACTTCATGTGAATCACCTTTTTGGATGAACTTCATGTGCGTCACGTTGAGTAGAGTAAAACGTAAGCACAGATGTTGCTTACTCCACTGACCTGAATGCACAGTCCTTTTTGTTTGATAGTCTAAAGCAATGTGGATCTCTACCATCTGATAGTGGGAGTAGGTAACTTAGGTAAGTGCTTATATGCTGTTGATGAAGTTTGCAGAATATGGTTTGGACATACCAAAATGATGATGGGAATGGAGTTTTGGATTCATTCCAAACTGATGAACAACTCAAGAAGAAAAAGAGAATTCTTAAGTCAGAACAAGGCGGGATGTACATAAGACTCTGGGACCTGGGAGTGAAGCTGATGCAGCCTCTGTTTTGGCATTTGGAAGCCTGTTTACAGCCCCAAACTAAGGCTCAGAGAACTATATTGATAGCAAAAATGTTCCAAGAGGTCAAAGGATACAGTTTTTTGTTGAAAAGATTGAATTTCTTCCATTTTTCCCTAAAATTTTAAGCACAGGAAAGCAGCTTGCTGTTAATATCATAAAAGTTCCTCCTTTGTGCACAGCTCAGATTGTTAGATGGGCAGTTCAAGAATCAACGGAAGGCTACTTTTCTGTGCTTAAAACAAAAATTAGATTCATTACGACAGCAGGATTCTCAACCTATATATACATATTTTTGTCATGACTGATCTTCCTGAAGGTAATTGGACTAGTGGTTACTTGGGTGATTTGTCTAGAGATTCGGATACTTATAAGTTGTATTTTCTGAGAGAACAAGATGAGTTGGTGGTAGAAACCACAAAGAAACTTACAGATGCAAGGCATAGCATTAAATTTGGATCCGTTCCCACTAATCTTGGTGCACTGCCTAAGTTGGAGAAGCAGTGTTTTCCTTACAAATTACCTGATGTGTACTTCTGTACGTAAAGGAAACTGTTTGCAACTGTGCATCATCGGTTTTGTTGTACAATTATGACTATCATGATTAATATGAGAAAATAATTTTGAGATAATTTTTTTTTTATTATTTTTTTATACAAAATAATGTAATATTTAAATGATCGATTTTTTAATTAATATGAGACTCATAATATTAAATACATTAATTTATTTAATAACATATAAAAATTATATCAAAAAATAATATAAAAAAATAATTTTATAACACCATCCTTAATATTAAGGTTAATTTGTATGTATGCATTATTGATATGATATTTTGTAAAGTTAACATCAGATTGGAGTTATTATTACATCTTTTTAATATAATTTTTTTGAATATATTTGCAAGGGCGGGTTTCGAACCCAGTCCAGGAGAAGGGGGAATGCACCGGGGTGGCTATTGTCACTAGGTCTCAAGGGTCAGGTGCACGTCTTTTTAATATAATTAATTATTATATTTTATATTTATTTATGAAATAAGTTAAAAATTTATAATAATTAATGACCAAATTCAATAGTAATCTCTTTTTCCTTTTCCTTTTTGGCAAAACCATGTGCGCTCCTTTTCAATTTCCATGAATTTTCATGTGTGGACAAGTGCGACTATTACCACATACGTCAAAAGTCTACCCAACCCACCATCCTTAATGTACATATATAGACACACCGCCGCCGTGTCAAGATCGGACTTACTTGCTAATTTTTTCCCTAAACCAATAAAATCTTTTGTTTCGCAATTCAATCTCGAGAGTCGAAAATGGAGGAAGTGGATTACCATGCCGACGAGCGGAGCAAGGCGGAGTTTGATGTCGAGGCGATGAAGATCGTCTGGGCTGGTTCTCGCCATGTCCTTGAAGTCTCCGATCGGATTGCTCGTCTCGTTGCTAGTGATCCGGTGATGGTTCTTTCTCTATATCTCGTTTTTTATTGGAAAATCATCTAAGAACAACCTTTTATATTACTTTTTTTATAGTTTTATTTATTTAAATTTATAATTTTAAATGTATTTACTTGTATGATAATATACACGTTAAAACTGAAAAAACTGGAAGTCCTATAAAAAGATGGTAGAAAAATAGTATCCAATGTCACCACCATTTTCTATTGATGATTGCTCGTTTCCGTTTGGTTCCTGAGAAACGGCGACTGAAAGGAACTGAAAATGTTTATCTATTCAAGTTATCTATCTTATGTTGACAATTTTCGATCAACGGGAAATTATCTTATTTGTACGGCTTTTAAAAGCTTCCATACAGAGATTATCCCTTTTCGCTATTCGTTGCTATTAATTCGTTCACTTTTCTCCTTTTGATTCAAAGAAAATGCAGGAAAAATTAGGATTCTAGTATGATTAATTTAGACGGAAAATCGTGAGATGTTAGCTCTGATTGCCTGTAGCGTCGTTGCTTTTTAGCTGTTCCTAGTTTAAATTTAGAGAAGAGGCTGAATATAATGTCTGTTTCCAATCCTGGAATTTTCATTTTCGAACTTTTGAATTTGAAGATCATTCTTCTATTTTAATGCTTTGTTGTTTGTTGGTTCTTTTTCATCCAACCACAGGTCTTTCGTAAGGATAATAGAGCTATGCTAAGTAGGAAGGAGTTGTTTAAAAATACTTTAAGAAAAGCAGCTCATGCTTGGAAGCGGATAATTGAGCTCCGTCTTTCTGGTGTGTTTTCATCATCATGAATTCCCACATTCCCATCTCTTCTTTTATTTTCTTTACTTTACTAACAATTGCCAATATCTGTTTATTTTCATCTGTACTTATACTTAATGAGCATTTTTTGTTATGACAGAAGAAGAGGCATCTAAATTAAGGGTTTATGTGGATGAGCCTTCTTTTACTGATCTTCATTGGGTGAGGTTATGTTGCCTTTTATTTATTATCCAGCACCACTTGTTTTAATATTTGGGGAATGTTTGATATACTTTTCAGTCAATATTCGATTTAATATTTTTTGGTTTAATATAATTATTAAAAATATAATATAAATACAATTAATTTAGTTGGTTTATATATCTTGTGTACATGATTGTATCATTATACTTATTTGTTTATAATTTTAAATTAAAAAATAATAATTTTTTAATAACTAAACCGAATGATATTGAATTGAGTGTTAAAATATAAAGTGTACTTATTACTGTCTAGGATCTCTTGATTTGAAATATTTTATGAAAAGGCTTTTGTACTGTAGATCTACCTACTAATGTATGTTTTCTTGGCAGGGAATGTTTGTACCTGCTATTAAAGGACAAGGCACAGAGGAGCAGCAACAGAAGTGGTTGCCTTTGGCATATAAAATGCAAATAATTGGCTGCTATGCACAAACTGAACTTGGTCACGGCTCCAATGTTCAGGGACTTGAAACCACTGCAACATTTGATCCCCAGACTGATGAATTTGTCATTCATAGTCCTACACTGACTTCAAGCAAGGTAAGTCAACTGGTTAAAGATTCTTTATCCAGTTTTGGATGGAGAATATTGATAAAAGCATAATTCATACACTATTCACAGCAAAAATACTGTATACTGTATAGAGTTGCTTCAATTTTCATTCTTGACTAGATAGTGCCCGTGCCCTCACATGGGAACATATAATGAAATAACTTATATTTTTAATTTTTATGAATTTTATTTCTACATAAGATATTATTTACTCTTAAAATTTAAATATCAATTAAAAATAAATGTTAAATATATCTATGTAATTTTTTAATATATCATTCTAGTAAAAAATTATAAAAAAAACTATAAAAAAAACTTTTCATTTGTATTTATACTTATTTTCATGCATTAATTTAGAGTACTATTTATATTATTATACAAATAAAATGATTTCTATAATATCAAAAATAAAGAAGAGAAATAACTTATAATATATTTGAGTTGAGTGAAATAGAAGTGTAACGCCCTGAATCCTATATAGGAAGGGAGTTGTGAGTAAATTTAGTATATAATTGTGGAAACCAACCACTATTAATAATTTAAGCTTGAGTTTTTGAGGACTCATAAACTTTGGGTTGAAGAATTGTCCGGGTTGTTTTAGGAGGCAAGGGAAAGATTTTTGTACCAATCAAATTATAACATTTTTTAAATATTACAATTTGATTGGTTACAAAATTATCTCCCCTTCTCAACCCAAACATTCTATTAATTAAACATTTGAAATATAAATGAGAAATACTAATGTCTTAAAGAAGAAGAAATTATTACTTATTTTCTTCTTATTCTTTTGAGAAAAAATGATAAAATTATATTAGTACAACAAAAGAGAGGGTGATTCAAGAAAGTGAACCTCTAATACATAAGATAAAATGTAACCACAAGAGATGGATATTTATCAAAAACAACAAAAGTTAAAGAAAGTGATGTTCCCATTTTGAGAAGTTGATTGGTATACATATGGTTATCCCTATTGACATGTTGTAGTGTTGAGCTAGAACAAAAATCCTCATGAGTTCTTTGGCGATTCAAAACATTAGAGACATTGGTATAATTGCCAAACAATAATTGAATAGTATAAAAAGAATTAGACTCAATATTAATTTTAGAAAACCCTTGGCAACAATAAAATTGGAGGTTATCCTCTATCTTTTGAAGCTTGACACTTACTCTATTAGTAATGCCTATATTCCTAGAAAAACCCATAATTTAATTGTTATTATGATCTTTTAAGATCTCTTCTCTATTAATAGATTTGAGAAAGGCAACCCCCTCAATATTAATGTTTAATAAAATATAGAAGAGATTTATGCCAGCAAAACATACTATGTTGCCTATTAGATAAATCAGACTGAATAGATACAATTTCCTAAAATTCAATAGTTTTATAAATAATAAGAGAAAGTCATTTAAAATCTTGAAATAAGAATCCTTTAAAACTTGTCATTCTTTTGTTTATTAAATTTTCCAAATAATTAATGAAAACAAAGCAATTCAAGGAATTTTGAAACAGGAGAATCCTCCGTGCTTTTACCTCATGTA